AGCCAGGAATGTATAAATACATACAAACATTAGAAAGCCAGGAATGTATAAATACATACAAACATTAGAAAGCCAAGAATGTATAAATACATACAAACATTAGAAAGCCAGGAATGTATAAATACATACAAACATTAGAAAGCCAGGAATGTATAAATACATACAAACATTAGAAAGCCAGGAATGTATAAATACATACAAACATTAGAAAGCCAGGTATGTATAAATACATACAAACATTAGAAACTATATGACCAAATGGACAAACATTAGAAATTATATGACCAAATGGAACCCAAAGAAAATAGCCAAATTCATCTGAAGTCAACTTTGACTGAGGGTGTCAGAACCTTAGTTTCTTCATAATTTCTTAATCTATCAATGGGGAATTTAAGAAAAATATGTTATAAGTTATATAAGTACAGAAGCACTGACTACTGAGCTGATGATACTCTCGGGGACCAACAGTCTACCATCAATCAGACCAATGCTAGTGAACATTGCCCTTTCCCGGATCTTGCTATCTGTATCTCTGATTGGAAGCTTAATACTAAAATTTACGATGAGAGCATTTTTCATTTCCTATTGTTAATTATCTGTTTTTAGATGGTTACTTTCCATAGACGCAATCGTATGGTGTTTATATATTTCAGCTTGTTCGATTCGCTCGTGTATGTAACAACGTATTCGATTTTAACTAAAGAAATCTCTGTATTACTGAAAAATTATTACACCAGAGTTTTCGATATGAAAAACTTGTCAAAACTTTTACAATGTACTAGATTTTATCATCGGTACAAGGACAACATTCGTTAATATAAATCAATGTGCAGACATCTTAAAATACGTATTCTAAAAACAACTAATGGCACGGGCTATATTCTTCTCGTAAAATTTATGATGGCATGATACTAAACCCCTAACGGGAGGGATTGTGCTTGATTTTCATATGATGAATACATGGTCTTTCGATCAGTTTAATTGAGGTCTGGAGCTGGTATTTCAGTAACGGCTAGTAGTCCTTTGTTCATTTATGTTAATCATTGTCATTGTATTTTTGCTTAGTTTCTTCTGTTACCTATTCTAACATTGATAGCCAGGAATGTATCAAATTATAGAAACGTAGCGACATCACAAACGATCAAAGCTAAACATGTTGTATAAAGGCAAGAAAAGAAGTACGGTGACACCATTTTTTATCATAATTTTCGTAAAGCATTTTATGAGAAAGAGAGAAAAATAAATGAAACCCAAGGGATAGTCAAACACATAAGTCGAAAATGAACTGACAATGCCGTGGCAAAAAAAGGGTCAAAAGACAAACGACAGTCAATAAAACACAACATAGAAAACTAAAGACTCAGTACCAAAACCTTGATCAATACTGGGGATGATATCAGGGGCTCAGGAAAGATATGAAGATACTGCTCCACATGTGGCACCCTTCGTGTTTCTCATGTTAGTACAAACCCGGTGATAAGTCGGTAGGTCACATTCGAGGATAAGAGAGCTATCTTACAATATCTTATTTAAAAATTCCATCATTTACTTTTCTTTCTATTAACATGTAGGGCTTCGGTGGCCGAGAGGTCTTATTAGTCGGACCACTGTATCCCTAACCTAACACTGAGGTTGTGTGCTCGAATCCGGCATCGTCCTGATCATGCATTTTAACAATATTTGCCGCTGAAAGTTAAGCAACCAACAGTCAATCGAATCAGAAACATTGGGCTAATACAGCAACAAGAAAATATTTATATTGTATGTTATTACGTTTATCATATTAATATGGTTTCTATGAATTTGTTCGTTAATTTTTAAAATTATTATCGAACTCTCTGTAGGTTTAACTTTCTTACAGGTTTGATTTATATCATGTTGATGACAATAAAGTCTTTATCTGTTGAACAATATTGTAAGTTTGAACATGCCTGCAATATTTTTTATGAGAAAAGTTTTGTCTTATCGTCCATTTTCTGTTAACATGATGTTGTCTTTCTTTGTTATATTCTATACTGTCAATGGCCTTTCAATTTTTATATAAAAATAGGGTTATGCCAAAGAACCTCTCGTCCTTTTTCTAAAAAAAAGTTCATCGGAAGATACCAAGACTTTGTTGATAAATATAACGTATGACTTCACAAATAATACATGATGGTCTTGAAGTATTTTAATAGATTCTAGATACTGACGTTGTTAATCATCTTAATTACCTGTTATAGTGTTCTTTTATTTATCTTTGTAAATTATTAACCTTTACTGTTTAGTCCAGTTTTTGGTAATATCCTTTTGGCGTGGCTTGGTACTAAGTTTCTTAATAGCAAAATTTGGCACAGGAATGAAATTCATTTGTTAGACTTTTCTTTCAAAAAGAATAAATTATTGATTAAAAAAAATTGAAATTTAGTCTTATAAGGGGATGTAGCTTAGATAATTCAATTTCATAAAGGAATGTTCAGTATTTTTTTCAATTTTGCATAAAAGCACGAAAAGGAGTACGGTGACACCATTTTTTATCTTAATTTTCGTAAAGCATTTTATGAGAAAGAGAGAAAAATAAATGAAACCCAAGGGACAGTCAATCACATATGTCGAAAAAGAACTGACAATGCCATGGCAAAAAAAGGGTCAAAAGACAAACGACAGTCAATAAAACACAACATAGAAAACTAAAGACTCAGTAACAAAATCTCGACCAATACTGGGGCTGACTGATATCAGGGGCTCGGGAAGGATATGAAGATCCTGCTTCACATGTGGCACCCTTCGTGTTGCTCATGTTAGTACAAACCCGGTGATAAGTCGGTAGGTCACATTCGAGGAAAAGAGAGCTATCTTACAATATCTTATTTAAAAATTCCATCATTTACTTTTCTTTCTATCAACATGTAGGGCATCGGTGGCCGAGAGATCTAATTAGTCGGGCCACTGTATCCCTAACCTAATACTGAGGTTGTGTGCTCGAATCCGGCATCGTCCTGATCATGCATAAAATATTTGCCGCTGAAAGTTAAGCAACCAACAGTCAATCGAATCAGGAACGTGGTAGGTGCGTTCGACTCCAATCTTAATTGACTACGATTGCGTTGGCCAATATTGCTCAAAATGTTTATGGTTATGCATACATATACATTGTAGGTTAAATGTCTATAAATAAATGGTCGATATGATATATAAAACTTCGGGATTACATTCAGGACAACTTCTTTCATTCATGACGTACATGCATGTAGATTAAGATATCGAAGAGTCCATGGTAGAAATTAATTATCATAAAATGTCTACGCTGCACGGGAACAATTCTTGTAAACGCTATTCGACAAACCACGTCTACAAAGCATTACTGGAATTTGACAAAACTGAAACAACGCAAAGGAAAGTATGTTTTTTAACAAATGGTTATACACACAACAGTGTACAACACAGAAGCAGACGAAAGGACATAACTATACAATCACATAACATAAAAGTGCTAGCGCTTCTAAACTGTAAAAGGAGTAAGCCGTACGAACCATCTAGTCTGTATACCTTATATATTACATACCGAAGCACAATAACAGACCTTTTCTGAAAATGAGGTCAAGGTCATCTGATTTTTTTTCAAAAGGTCAATCGGACTTATACCTCTTACAACCAACCAGTTTACCATATACTGCTACAAAGCCAAATGATATAGTTATTGGGGATGATACATGCCTTAATACACATTTACACGGACATACATTCCTAGCATGGATTCATGAACCAAATAGTGTTTACTTGTGAAAAAATACTGAAAAACAGATATAATTTTGAAAACTTATGATGAAAACTTTTGAAAACTTTTTGTTTGTGTCAAGGCCATATGAAATATGTTAGACGATACAACAAATATACATGTATAATATTGCTGACCCGTCATTTATCGTAACTGAGTAACAGACTGGTCACCGATCGTTACTGAGTTACAGACTGGTCACCGATCGTTACTGAGTTACAGACTGATCACCGATCGTTACTGAGTTACAGACTGGTCACCGATGTTAAAATTATGGCTTGGCCATTATGCACATGACAAAGAGACATATACTCATTATAACTAGTCCATATACAAAATAATGTTGACCTGCCAATCATAGTATCTGTCCAAGAAAATATAATTTGACCCTTTCGAGTAAAAATTCGTAAAGGGTTCGAGAAACCCGGGTCTTGCATGCAATTGAAGTGGTCAGTATAAAAAGTGCAATGTTGACTGCCAAAAACTAAATCCAATTAACAGTACAACACAAAAAAAAAAGATTTCCAAATTGTGCTCTGGATGCTATCTTTTGATCATACAGAAGCTTTTGTTTAAGTTTCGGAGCAATTCCATGAAGAGTTCATGAATTAATTGATGTCTGAAATAAAACTTTAACCACACACTAAACCTAAATGTTGAGGACACTGTATGTTATGTAATGATCGCTATGTCTCGCTTCGCCAGCTCGACAAAAATGAGGTCAGTCTCATGTTAAAATAATGGGTTAACAAGATTTCATCATTAGTACCAATGGACATCTTTGTTAGTCAGCGGAAACATCAGAAACAAATTTTAAACAAGATAACCGAAGAAGGACAGTGATTAAAATTGGTGTCAATTAGCCTAGTAGTTTCAAATGGAAGATTTTAGAAAAAGTTAACAGATGTAATCCAAATGATAATAGCTAACACTGACCCATTCAGATAGTTGAGCTTAAAGTTACAAATACAGAGCTTTTCTTACAAGTCTTTAGTTTTTGGCAACACTGCCTAAGTCAGCACCTCAAGAAACAATACACATGTTATTTTATATATTGTAATTGCATTTGAAAGAAGATGATAGTTTTCTATGACTTTGATGTTCGCCGTTTTTCCCCAGTAATTTTTTTAATTTTCCTGCCACATAACGTCTGTAGAAAGAGTAAGATCAAAATATTTGCAATACTATTTCTATTAACCGATTCCTTACAAACTACAGACACATAAAAACTGTAAAGAGCAAGTCTATAATACGAGTTTATTATATTGATAAAATATGTATGGATCTTGTACTGATATACAACAGTCTGAAACTCAATGTTCAGTACACATCTTACAGTTTGGCTAGTTGTTCTTTAATCATTGGGTACATTTCACGTGTCCTGTATGTCATTTTGTGAGCTTCATCAAAGTGAGGCTGTAGTCTCTCCTTTACTCGCCCCATCCATGCTTTCACCACAGAATTCTCTTCATACAAATATTCTTCATTAATACCATACAGTTGCATTAATTCACAGATTCCAAGAATATCAGCTACAGAAATTTCTTGTCCACAAAGGAAAGGTCGGTCCTTCAGCCAAACATTTTCTAACAATTTGACAGTTTTCTTAACTTCTGTTCTAAAAAGTTCAACTTTATCCCAATCTACTGGTCTACTCAAAGCTTTTGGTTCAATTAACTGCAAAAGATAAAATTCCAAGTTTTATTCATACACACTACATTTTTCTTATATTCTGAAACAGACAAATGATTCAGCACCATTGTAAATGACACATGTCTTTAATGTTCACTTAAAAAGTAATAATAATTGAAAAACAAAGGATATTGGGTATCCATCCATGACACAAAATCAGTACATGCACAACAAAAAACACACAAAAAGCTAAGGAACAGCGTTTTCATTGCTGTTCTTCATCTCAAAGTCACAGTGAGGCCTTCTACACGGAGCAAAAAAAAAAAAAAAACTCTCACCTCACTGCAAGTTTAAGACGGAATCTAGCATCGGTGCATAGAACATTTCAATTTCAAACTTCTTTAGATCTAACTGCTAGTGAAAAATGTGCCATTTGACTTTGCTGTGTGAAACAAAAAAAGCAGAAAAAGCAGATGCCTTGTCTGCCGTAAAAGCATTAAGGTCCTTACCATGTGTAATGGTAAGATATGTGATAAATACAAAGTAAACCTTGCGAGAAACATAACTGTTACCACACATTTCAATAGTTTTCAAAGCATCATTTTCATGTTCGTTTCCATCTTCATTTACATACATATATTCCCATGTTTACTTAAACCCCGATAAAAAAAAACCCGAATATGAATTAAAGGATATGTGGGGTACGTCAATGAGACAGCTTTCTGACAAAATAGATAACCAGAAGACATCGAAGTTAGTATTAAATATTAGACAGGTGTCCACGAATATTTACATAATAAATTGGCATATTAGGTATTCAAACATTCGATAGTCTTTTATAATCTACATTCTCACATGTTTAAGGTACTTATATCGTTTCATAGTGAGCAAATATAAACACTTTTTTTTTTTAATCTTTAAAAAATCCTTTGGCTTAATAAACTGTATAAAATATAGCTATAACATTCCTGCTTACTCATTACGTTTTGTATTTCGGGAGTTTCCCTTATCTGTAGATTAAAAAACATCTGAAATTTGTTTTTTGTTTTTTGTTTTTTGTTTTTAAATTCTGTGCACAATTTTTGGGATTCCAAGCGATTGTATCTATTATCGCTATTTTACGAAATTTTCCTTTGATCTTACTGACTGATAATTTCCTTTCTCAGCACAGTAGAGTGATATGAAAAATTATCGCTAGAAACTAAGGACGCACGTGCCGTTGTTAATGAAATTAACAATGTCGTCAAAGGTAAAATAGCGATAAACAGATTATCATTGGTCAACTCAACTCGATTGCTTTTCTCACTTTCGCCGTACCGGCTCAAGCGAGAAAATCAATCTCGTGGAGATGACCAACGATAATCTATAAATATCACTATTCATGACGTTGGTGTATGAAAGCTATACGGCAGTACAGAGGTCGATATGAGAGTGTAGGAGAACATGATTTCTGTATCAATAGATAACTTGGAGCTTGCTATCGGTAATTGTCAGCATTCTTTAGTACTTTAGGATTGCTTTATGTTGTGGTTTTGTTGTCTTTATCACAGATAATACTACAAGCTTGAAGTGATTTTTTTCTTTCTAACTTTATGATAATCTACATTTTTCTATCTGCCTTTGGTTATTCCCGACCGAAGAGTTGTTAGCACAAAAATAAGTTTAACCAGCCACTTTATATAAAATGTTCTAAGTATGCTCTTTTCCGGGGAAATTGGTTTTAGTGGAATATCTCTGATGGTGTCTTAACCCGAATAGCTCCCCATAATCGATCACTTCTACTTACGAGGTTAAGACTTCATATAGCCATCTTAGGGCAGTTGAATATAATGACTGCATTATTCGGGTTAATAGTGTCTTAAAAAATGCTTCACAAATTGTCTAGACTCGTGGGTTGACATATGGTATAGAAACAGGTGTATTATTGAAAACCATATAATAACCCTCTGTCCGTTTTCCTAGGTGAGGGAATTTTTTAAAGTTCTCATCGAATTCTGCAAAATAGATAAATATGTATCAAACAATGATAAAGGAATAATACCAGATTCCTGAAGAGATATGCTGACTTCAGTCTGGTATTCCAATGTTGCCAGTTCATATATTCGTCTACTCTTGCTTGGGCTTGTAAGTTCGTTCTGGGATACCAGTTCTCTGGTAAGTTGTACTTTGCTACCAAGTACTTTAAAATGGCAACACTGAAAAATGTAAGTTTCTATTATTTACCTATAGGAAATCGTTGGTTAATGGCTTCCTCAAATATTTGTATAACTTACAGTTTCACTTTTGTATCAGCAACTTCTCCTAAACTGTAAACCCTTTATACAAATATATTGAAACTTTCTAAGAATCTTAACCACATAATTCCATTTTGCATATATTTTGTTTATGGTCCAAATCATTCTTAGGATTTCCCTCTGCGAATAATGGACAAACTTAACATGCTTAATGCAATGACAAATGTTAAACTGAATCACTTATCGATAACAAGAGGTAGGGCCAATTTCCCTTGTATTTGTTTCTCTCACATAATCTGAAAGTTAGAGAAACAAACTACAGTATTCGGATATTAAAAAGTCTATATAACACTCTCACATAAAATATTAACAACTTTTCTTATTTCAATTCAAAAAGAATGTTTTCAGCGATGCATACTGCCGTTGAATGGTTGATTGATTGATTGATTGATTTCAATTTTTACATGTTGTAATATTTTCAATTGAAGGACGTCTCTATCTAATTTGTTTTCCGAAAGACATTCACAATATATAGCTATACTTTCAACAGATTTTTGGTTTTGGTTAGAATGTCCTTTTGATATATTTTGTTTTTATATAGATACTCAAAATTACCAAAATCTTTAAAAATTGCCGTTCTGAGCCATCTTTCGGTTTTTAGAATTTGGTTACATGTTCGAAATACACTACAATGCTGTTAAAACCTTTAAGTACACATTTCAATTTATGATGCTGTGAATTTTAGAAAAGATAAAACTTTTAGAAAATGGCTCTGGTGTGAAATAAATTCTGGGAAAATTGTCCTTACCTCTTTGCAATTCTAAATGAGAAAATGTTAAAATATGTGGAATTCTTAAACGTCATGACGTCAAATTTGAAGCTCTGAAAATTGACATAAAAATTCAGTATGCATTCCTAAGAAATCAGTAAAATCTTACAAAGATTGGTCGACCTACGACCGTTGGTGTGAATTTTCATCATATAAATGAAAAATACACGTGCATTACTGTTGATGAGGCTCAGTATATTTGACGACAGATATTACACTTTATCAACGCACATTTGATGGGCAAGTTTGTCGATACACATACGATGTTTCAGTACTTTCCGTTAAAGATGGTTTAAATTTCCGGTATTTTATTATTTATGTGATGGCTCACTACGGTAAGTGATCTAAATCAATATACTTAGTATAACAAAGATCGTAAAATAAAGACTTCAACTGATACAAATTGACTTTTGTGTGTTTTGATTTTTTTTCTACCATTCCCATTTTAAATATCGCTAATACATATATATGTAGATCGGGAAAAAAATAAAACAGAAGAGAAAATAAATAAAACAAATAAAGCAGAAGAGAAAACAAATATAACAAACGAAGCCATTTATCATAATATTTACCTCTCGGTTAAAATAAATCCATTGTCGTCCAGAACAGGCACTAATCCGAAGGGATTAACTTTCTTGTATTCGTCTGAAAAGTGCTCTCCTGTAAAAGCACATGACATAAAATTCAAAGTAAAAAAAAAGTACATTAGAAATTTATCAAATAACATAAGGAAAGCATCCTATAATGGTTTACTTTTACAAATAGTGACTTAGATGGAGAGTTGTCTCATTGGCACTCATACCACATCTTCTTATATCTGTTGAAAGCTGACAGAAAATACCTTAGTAATTTTGTTTATATATTTTGTTTTTGTTGTATTGAATTCTATACTGATTGTGTTTTCCTTCCTGTAGTGTTTACGACGTTCCTGTATAACAGTTGGCAATATTACACCGTATTTGAGTCTCTACTTGTATTTACAATGTAACTAGACTCTGAAGGAATAAGAGCCTGGTATATTGTGTAGAAACTCGACTATTGTTGAAAACCGTATGCTGACCTATGGATGGCTTTTGACCTTTGTTTCGTTGTGCTGTTGTCTTATTAATGTAAACCCTCATCTCCTTTTATTTTTACGTCCATATGGAAATAAGCAAAATCTGAGAGATTGATTCTATCTCTGTATTTATTTCCTTTTCAAGATTGGATTCTCTGTGAATTGACAAACAAAAAAACACAATTTTTTAACGCGAATTTCAAACAAAAGGATTTCAAATGAATAAAAGTATATATATTTACGTCAATGAAACAGCAACCAAACAACACAAAGTACATAAAAGACATTTAGAGGCCAACATACAGTTATCAACAATACACGATGTTCTATACCCTACGTTCGATATGTCAAGCTATAAATCTGTCAGATTCTAGACAAGTTGTGTGTTAATCCAACAGATGCTAACAAGGAAGTGTCAAGTTATGTGAGGGACTCTGACACACAAAGATGTAACTAAACTGATGCGTACAACCACAGACGAAATACCTGACTTAGGACAAGAACATTTACATGTGGTGTTGTTATTTTTTTATTATTCTGCATGCATCCCCATTCCATCTCATAATAAAAGCTATGGCGTTGTTTAAAAATTATTATGTTTATAAAATTCCCCTTGCTTGTCCATTTAAATATCAAAATAAGGAGATGACAGTGATATGAACTATCAAATAGACCAAAGGGCGTTCATGTGAACAATTACAGATCACTGCCCGACCTTCAACAATGAGCAAAACCCATACCGTTTAATCAGCAATCAGTGGCGTAGCCAATGGAAAATAAATTGTAAGTAGGGGGTCAGGGGGGCGGCAGCCCCCCATAAGCTGGATAAATACTGTAAAATTCTTATTGAAAAAAAAACAATGGTTTTATAAAATTATTTGTAAGCACATGCTTGAAATGCTACGCTGGTGCTACAACACTGACTATAAAAGACACTCTGAGTAATGAAATATCAACGTATTATTTTATATAATCTTTATTACATGGCACACTTGTAAACAGGATCTTTATAATTGTATGAAAAAAGAGCATCAACTTATTCCATTCAACATGTTCAACCACGTAGGACTTTTGGGCACATATTATTCTTATACAATATCAAGTTTCATGTAAAACCTATAGACATTGTAAAGCTTGGTGTACAGATAGAGAAACATTAATATAACACATCGCTACATTATCATGTTTAACTGTGGTATGACTATGCTACTTTTTCTAGTTTGCTATGAACAAGAAGGTACTTATTTTTACACCAAATAGTTATTGAATGGGATTCCAATCTTTCTATTTCATTTAAACAACTTACAAATCTAGTTTAAAGTTTTAACATCATTTGAGCATACCAGTCATTACTTTAAAAAGGCTTGTACAATATTGGACTATTATACTGTTTGTAGTATAGGCTCTTATAGTCTAAGGTACAATAGGCAATATCATATAGTAAACAGGTAAATTGCCAAAATATATATATAGAAACATTTAATTCATGTATCAGTTTAAAAAAAAAAAGACACAGACACTAGCATGTCTAAATGAAAATTTCAACATCAAAGTTAATATTCCCACTATAACGGTAGAATGACATTGTTGTTCCATGTCTTGAAACTTCGCTTGATTTAGAACCGCCCAGCGAAGGGCATGTGATAAGTTAATTATAAATAAGAAACATGTTCCGCCGCCATCAAATAGAGAAAGTACATAAGGTGAACAGGCGAACTGATTTGAATTGCCTGGAAGTACTAAGTAAACGAACACTCGTATATCAGCATAATATAATATGACATTACAAACCTTTTCTAAGGGCAACTGCTTTCGGTTCGAACGGAATTTTATTAATTTTCAGAAAAATGTACACTGCTCTCGATGGCTGTGACATCAAATCGTAGAAATATCTCAAAACCATACTTTACACGGGTACTGTGACAACACAAAAGTCCACTGTGACAATACAGAAGTTCAGAAAACAAATTTATAGTTGTGTAGTTGACAAATAAGTCAAAATGTAGAACGTTACGCGTGATACTTATTGACCTTTGTGTAGTCTGTAGATCGATTTATCATTGAAAAGAAGCCTGATAAAACACACAATTCGATGTTACAGCAATATTTTTTTTTATTTAAGTCTTGATTCAAACTAATTTATTAATACTAAAAAAACAACTATGATAGGTAAATATTATTAGAAATCAAAAGTTTGTTTTTATTGATATAAGCGTCAGTATAACAATGGCAAACGAAGCAGTTCAGCTGCGTAAATCTGCACGTTTGTTTGGCAATGTATTGCTTATATTCTGCACAGTTGGAATGCTATTGTCCGTGTATGCACTTTATGTTGAAATCCACGCAGAGGGAGACTCGAGTTTTAAAGCATGGTGTGATATAAATCCTAAAATGAGCTGTTCTAAAGTGTTTACATCAAGGTAAGAACACGTCAGCATTTATCATTTTTACAAATACTGAATAGATGATGAAGTATATGATGTATTTTCCTTTTGTTTTACGATAATATTTTAAAACTATGTATTCTATAGTTTGATAAAATTTTAAAGGCGTTTCCTGGTAAAAGAACGTCTTTTTAAATTTTCGACTATGATGAAGGGAAATAACTCAAAATTCACCGGTTAAACAATTCACGAATATATCATGATCATAGATTGGGATTGTAATTCAAAAAGTTAATGTTTGAAAATAGTGGTATAATACACTTGAACATTAAAATATTCAAAATTTGGTGAATTTGTAATATCAATTATCGTAGTCGCATGAAAACTGAGGGATTGCTTAGACTGCCGAAATGTACAACTCGAACAGCCTGATCAATATTTTTAAAGTTCCATTGTTATAGTTAATCTCGTGTGTATCTGAGACACAATGACAAAATTCACCTTTTATTTTACTTTTTTTTTTTAAATATGAACAATTATCATGATTATTTTCATTTTAAATTGACCAAAGTTTTTTTTTATTTCTTTGGAATTTTTATTTTTTTTTCTTCCATGGCAATTACTAACTATAGTAAGATAATTGTGAAAAGAATTTGACCTACATTTTTTTATCTATACATCTGTAAGTGTATGAGCATATATGATGTAACTAATTTTTCACAAACTAGCAAATATGTACAAAGTTAATTTCATGTTATTAGATAAGATTGCAATATGGCGATACGGAAGACATGTTATTCTTGTAGCCTATATATGTGTGTATGTTTTAAGACACATTATACTCATTTGCAAACTCAACAAGAGAAATATGCTTTCAGTTTATGTTTACCAGTAACCAGATGTGTGTGTTAGATTTTTTTAAACGGACAGTTGTTCCGGCTTTAAGTATGATCCTTCTGCGATATGAATAAATACCCTGCTTTGTATATATATACGTACTAGACTGACACGCTGAGTCGGATTTTAATGTGCTAGTTAACAAGGAAACAGTCCTCAAGAAGACATGTCACCCTACCCGGACACACTGTTTTGACTCATAGCAGACCAGCTCTTTTTCCTTAATGCCGCGTGCTTGGCGGAGAAGCGGCAAAACTAATCTTAGTCTTTGGTTTGACCCGGCCTGGCTTCGAACCCACGACCACGAGACTACCTAGGTGGTAATCATTTTGTAGACAGCGCTAGAAACTATTTTTCAACACCAAAGTTATGGTAATTTTCCCGAAATGATTTTCGCAAAGCCTCCATGCAGACACTGCTTTGACCTCTAGTTTTATCAGACGTCAATTAAAAACTAAATTTGTAATTCAATATACTAGTACTTGGTTAATTTGACTTCCTCATACGATATTCCTTGTTTTTTTTTGAGTTCATGCCACATAGTTCGATTCCTTGAAAAAAATATCAAGAAAGAAATTTGAAATTTAATCCGACTTTACCAGTATTTTGAATTCGCCTTGCCCGCCCCTGAACATTAATGCTGCATATAGAGGAAATGAAAATTAAACGCATATTTATACCGATAGATACGAGTTTATTTTGAAGCAACTTATTGGTGTTAATTTTCAAATGTTACAAATATTCTACCTGGCTAGATACAATTAATTATAATAAAGAAAACAAGGCAACCATTGCAAAGATGGCGCGTTAGCCAGTCAGAGAGCACCTGAAGTCATTACATGTGCCTGCTGGATGTATGTAAAAGGCATATCCGACTTTCTCCGTTTGCGACAAAAATCGCAAAGGCGAGGCATCCAACATTTGTCGGCTTAGTCGGTGTCGTCGTATCGTCAAAATTAAGTTCAGTCTGGGGTTAAAGTTTTTTTTAGACATCCAAACTTTGTCACGCATTCATGAAATTTTATGTATCTTGATTATTCATTGATGATGACGATGGATGGCTGTTCAACGTCGAGTGCAAATTAAATGTAAATTCAGTACGAGAAATGCTAATGCGATATCACCATGAATATGAACCCTGCTTGTACTAGACCAGTTTATTTTATTAAATTAAAAAATTTCAAAATAAAACTCTTGAAAAAAATTAAATAAGTAATTTATTCTTTTTAATGATCCAAAAATATTCAAATCGCAGTGAATACGATAAAAAAAAAATAATCTTTTCATATGTATTAAGACATCATTCTTTTATTTATCAAAGATGTATGTTAAATTTTGAGAATTGCATGTTTGTTTATTATCTTTCAGGTACGGAAGAGGTTTTGGCTTATTGGAGTACCTTGTCGGTAAAACCAGTGTATTAAATCAACCAAATAGTATTTTTGGCCTGATTTTCTACATCCTTCAAATAATATGTGGTATGTCATTAATATTTTGAATTGTGTATAATGATATTTTGTTTTACATAATTTACAAAAAACAGATAATTTAATTACTATGTCCAAAACTACTACTGTAAACATACGAAATAGTTGGCCACAATACTAAAATCTACTTATTAAAGTCATGTTTTGTCTACAGAATACCAGAGACATATATATGTGTTTATATGTCTACAGAATACGTATGTACCTAATTATTCATATCTAACGAAATTCAGTTGTGGATGAATGTACTTATCAGGATGCATATTAAAAATAACAGAATAGAAATTTTCTGTGAATGCATGATCACAGAGAAAGGCGATAGATAGAACACTAAACAAAAACCACTAGTTCAAAAATATGAAATTATATGAAAGTTAAGAAATTATTTTAAAAAACATTTTCATGGTGTTTTTATTCTAGTTTCGAATCGAAATTTGTGTTTTGGTACATTTCAAAGGTATATTTTCTTAATTGTAAAAAACACATTGGGACAAATAAATTTTCTAGATACACTCCCTCACAAAACAGTTTTTCCTCAATGTGGTCGAGGTTAAAAAACTGAATTTCGATTAAAATCGGTCAAAAGTATGATGTGTGCAATTGTGACGAAACAGAAACCTCGTTTCTAATGGAAAGTGCCAAACATTATTTTTTTGATATTCTACGTACATGTATTTGTCTTATCAAACTTCAATGCAAATAATTTTATTAACTTTTATAGGAAGAGTCTTAACTTTTCACAAAACTTAGTCTTTAATACATGTCCATAATTGTGTGACCCATAGAATTCTTATATTTTGTATATTCCAGCAATGACGATATCCGGCAGTCTCGCAAGCTTAGCTCTAGGAACAAGTATTGTGGCGAACTTTGGCTCAGCCTATCTGGCTTATATACTGGTATATATACTAGATGATGTTTGTGTGGTGTGTGTTTCTACGTATATAGTCAATGCTGTTATTTTGTACTGCTGTTATCAAAGATATTACAAGATTGTCAACATTTCCAAAAACAAAAAGCAAAGATGATAGAAAAGGACAAAATACCCGATTCCAATGTCTCGCCAGAGTGTCTAATTGCTTCAAATGCCAAAGTGTCTTATCATGGAAGTAAAATGATGATAATACTTCCATGGTCTTATCATTCGAGATTATCATGCTAACAGTTTACTACAGTGATTTTTGTAGATTATCACGCTAACAGTTTACTACAGTGATTTTTGTAGATTATCATGCTAACAGTTTACTACAGTGATTTATGAAGTAACGATTGTAGAAGGCTTATATTAGAAGTCTAACTATAGACATAATAATATATAGTACTATATATGTCTCATTAACAAATAATGTAAACATATGGTAGTAGTAGGTCAATGTAGTATTGTTTTTTGTTTTATTAAAGTGCTATATATATTTTTTTACATTAAATCAAAAGTTAGGTCTTCTTGTAGGCCTAACAGGATCCAGTATATGGTTTATAAAAACTTATGTTAGGTTATGTGGATAAAAATACGATCCTGTATAAGAAAATAGAACTTTTGTATTAATATAATTCAAGGATATTAACACTCAATTCAATTGAATCCAGAGTTTTATTTCAAGTCGATATTCTGAACAGAACATTCCGGCCGGATGTGCCAGCTTGCTTTGACATTCCACACAGCCGAACAGTGATGTTTATGAAGAAGGGACTATAATATCGTAATAGGTTTCAATAAGGCTTCTGCACGTCCAGTGGTAAATATAACATTTGGAATAAGAAAGATAACATGTGAATACGACATGTGATGTTATGTTTTGTACAAGTCACTTTGGGTCGGCTTTTTAACGTTCCGGTTAAAAAGGGTACTAGAAGTCCACAGTAAGACAAGACATATATTATTCTGATACTGAGCCGATCAATCTTTGTAGCATTGCTTAATACCGAGTGTTTTACGGAGAAGAATCAAGTTTTTACTTTATGGTGTTGTTTGATCTGACAGGTTATTGAACCACCAGCCTTCCAAACTGGAAGCATAAAGACGAGACAGTTTATTACTTTGATATTGATATATTGTTGCATTATCATACGTGGGGTTTAGTTCTTAAGGATCGACAATTTGATTTTGAGAAGGGAGCTAGCAGATTTTGGAAACAAATATGCCATTCAGTAAGAAATTAATAATCTTGTCCTATACGGTAACACATGATTATAAATATTATGGCCCCAAATTGTTCGAAATATTTTACAAAAAAAGATATACCATAGTTACATTAACAGAAGTATTATCATGATATTAGATTTTCATTTACTGCAAATATATATACTTTATTTTAGACTTCAAGATATACACATAACTGTCAGGTTATACATGGCCTGAGTTCGAGTCTACTACAATATATGCCTGTTATTGGATAATTGTCGGATAAAACGAATGTCTAAAACATGAAAGTGGGAAAGACTGGCAGTTTTTATATCACTTTTTGGATTACTTGAAAAAAATTATCTGGTCGCCCTTGAGTTGGAAATAAATATTCTGCTTTGTTTGCTAGAACGTTAAAAATTCGACGCAGGGTATCGGTTCAGTAAATGAAATGGTTAATATTCATATCACATTAATATGTTCTCGTTTTATATGCATGTTACATTTGCCATTGGATGTTTAACATCAATTTTCCCCTACTCTCAGTAATATAACAGTTACTTCATTTAAATTTGCACATCTTTTCTGAATTTGGTGTTTTTAAGATTAAATTTTAATAGATCATTTATATTTGGTAGGTTGCTGTATTACCGTTTTTAAAGGAAATTTAAAACTAGTGTTCGTAGTCTTGATACATGTAGCGCTCAATAAATGAAGTTTATATTGCTTTGTCCGATACTTAATAAGTTTTTTTTTTCAGGGCAGGTGACATCACCATTCAGAATTGTATTGAAATTGATATCCATTCCTGAATATTGAATTATATGACTTCAGATCAAATAATCTTTATTATTAGTTTTATTTATAGAAATACTCGTTTTATTGTTTAATTGTATTATTTGTTGTAAGAACAGACTAACAATATATAAATTAGAACAATTTAGTGTAAAGTATACAAGTTTGACTGAAAGTTAAAGAAATGTACAGTCCAGTACATTCACGAAATTAGCATAATTGTCACAATCAAAATTGCATGTCAATGTCTCATTATAGTAAAGTACTATTTTAGTATATATATACAGTATTTTTCTTTATATTGTAAGCAAACTGAAAGCCATTTAAAAGGATAATTATGAGTGAATGAGAATGTTTGCGTGTGAACTAGTTATTTTTAAAATATATTCGATATTGTAATAAATGCATATTTTGATATTCTATATTCTTGAATTTTATTTTTGTTGTCTTTGTTGATTTCTCTTCATTCATTATTGAGTGTTTAATAAATTGCATATAAACTCAAGGCAATTTGAAAAAACTAGAGGCTCTAAAGAGCCTGTGTCGCTCACCTTGGTCTATGTGCATATTAAACAAAGGACACAGATGGATTCATGACAAAATTGTGTTTTGGTGATGGTGATGTGTTTGTAGATCTTACTTTACTGAACATTCTTGCTCCTTACTATTATCTCTATCTATAATGAACTTGGCCCGGTAGTTACAGTGGAAAATACTTTGTAAAAATTTACAAAAATTTACCAAATTTATGAAAATTGTAAAAAATTGACTATAAAGGGCAATAACTCCTTAAGGGGTCAATTGACAATTTTGGTCAAGTTGCCTTATTTGTAGATCTAACTTTGCTGTACATTATTGCTGTTTACAGTTTATCTCTATCTATAATAATATTCAAGATAATAACCAAAAGCTGCAAAATTTTCTTAAAATTACCAATTCAGGGGCAGCAACCCAACAACGTGTTGCCTCATTGGTCTGAAAATTTCAGGGCAGATAGATCTTGACCTAATGAACAATTTTATTCTCATCAGATTTGCTCTAAATGCTTTGGTTTCAGAGATATGAGCCAAAAACTGCATTTTACCCTATGTACTATTTTTTAGCCATGTCGGCCATGTTGGTTCCCGGGCGGGGTCATCGGACACATTTTTTAAACTAGATACCCTAATGATGATTGTGGACAAGTTTAGTTAAGTTTGTCTTAGTAGTTTCAGAGGAGAAGATTTTTGTAAAAAATTACAAAAATTTACGAAAAATGGTTAAAAATTGACTATAAAGGGCAATAACTCCTTAAGGGGTCAACTGACCATTTAGGTCAAGTTGACTTATTTGTAGATCTTACTTTGCTGAACATTATTGCTGTTTACAGTTTATCTCTATCTATAATAATATTCAAGATAATAACCAAAAAATGCAAAATTTCCTTAAAATTACCAATTCAGGGGCAGCAACCCAACAACGGGTTGTCCGATTCATCTGAAAATTTCAGGGCAAATAGATCTTGACCTGATAAACAATTTTACCCCATGTCAGATTTGCTCTAAATGCTTTGGTTTCAGAGATATTAGCCAAAATCTACATTTTACCCCTATGTTCTATTTTTAGCCATGGCGGCCATCTTGGTTGGTTGGCCGGGTCACCGGACACATTTTTTAAACAAGATACCCCAATGATGATTGTGGCCAAGTTTGGTCAAATTTGGCCCAGTAGTTTCAGAGGAGAAGATTTTTGTAAAAGTTAACGGACGACGGACGACAGACGCCAAGTGATGAGAAAAGCTCACTTGGCCCTTTGGGCCAGGTGAGCTAAAAACCAAACAGTTGAGATTAACATCATGCATGAAGAGTCCTGCTCCCTTGTTGTTGACTTAAAAATATATTTCTAACAAACATTTGCAAATATTTTTTACAAATCGTGTAGAAAGGTAAGTTAAATATAGAAAAAATATGTTAATTTTACAAAAATGAATAAATACAAAAGTGTCATGAATACACCAATGAGGTTTAACACACTTTTAAAGCAAAAAACGTATAACGACTCAAATATCACATGAAAGTTCAGTGTTTTGAATACGAATACAAGGAATTTTACTTTAAGTGTTTTCACCAACAGCCAAAATTTGATATCTATCGGGGTATTCACCCTGAACCAATCTGATAGTTGAAGTGACTCGGATTCCAATGTTGAAATTAACGTATTATAACCATGGCTACAGAAGGAAAAAGCAATACTAGTATCATCGGCATAAATGTACCGTGTCCCTTTTTGATAAATAAAAATATATCATTTTTGTCGAGCCTGCGACTTTTGTCGCAAAAGCGAGATATAGTGATCCTACATTTCGTCGTCGTCGTATTACTTTAATAACTTTCTTAAAATATCCTGGATTTGTACCAAACTTGGACAGAAGCTTTTTTATGATCATAAGATAGTATCCAGAAGTAAATTTTGTAAAAACAAATCCTGTTTATCCGTATTTTACTTATAAATGGACTTAGTTTTTCTGCCAGTTAACATTACATTCACTCTGTGGTTAAAGTTTTTAAAATTTTAATAACTTTCTTAAACTATCCTGGATTTGTACCAAACTTGGACAGAAGCTTGTTTATGATCAAAAGCTAGTATCTAGAAGGAAATTTTGTAAAAATTTATTTCCTGTTTTTCCGTATATTACTTATAAATGGACTTAGTTTTTCTTCCAGTTAACATTTATATATACAGTCTGCAGTTAAAGTTTTTAAAACATTTATTAGATTCATAAACCATCCTTGATTTTTACCAAACTTGGACAGAAGCTTCTTACAATCAAAAGATAGTATCTAGAGGAAAATGTAAAAATTATCTTCTTTATCATTTGTTCGTTCAATAAATTTATGTTTCAACTCTTTTATAAATCTATAGATTTGATTGCATACTGTATTCATTTTTTACAAGCATAACTTTTTTCATACATTTCAAACGTTTTATTTCATTAACTGTAAATCTATTGTGTGCATTCCCCTATCACACTGAAGACAGACAACAGCAAAAGTAGGCGAGACACTGGGGTCCGCGGAACCCTTACGAATTTTTGAAAATATTAAAAGTATGGGCCCAAGGATTCTATCAGACAGTATGATTTTAGAAAACTCAACTGAATAAGCAATAGAAAAGAAAAGAGACTAAAATTACATGTACTCGAACAGATCTTTCGAACTTTTTAGTATCCAGATGTGATTCACATCGCTCCTACAGTAGTTAGTTTCACAGTTACTCTGAATCCAAGTTTCGATTGATGATAAAATTGATGTTGATAGTTTGGAAGGAAACTTAATCGAAGGTATCATGGAGCACTGAAGATCGAGTTGTCGTGCATCTTTCGCTAAAACCCCATAGAACACACAAAAGACCTATGATTGTTCGGGATTTTTTCTTTAGTAAGTGTCGTGGGCGTACATGTTGAGTTATACCAAGTGAACTGTAAATACTCAATTCTGTTATCAAGCAGTTAGTGTACTTGTTTAAACGCACACACATAATATTGGTCTTTGTTTTATCTGCGGGACTATGTATCTCGGCAGTCACCATTACCCACTTTTAACTGGCGGACTCGGTTTACACTAACGTCAGCTGTCGCAATCGATACACACTGTACTGCAGAACCCGTTTTTTAAATTTTTTTCTTTGCACTATTTTTTACAATCTTTTCTTGTTGGCTTATTGTAGTTTAAGTCATCACATAACAATATATTGCACTTGAAATACACATCTAGGATTCAGAAACAAGAAACGTTGCTTTTACAAATCTGTCTCCTGTTAGCTTACCTGTAGTTTCCAATAAACATTCTAATATTTAATGGCAGGTTTGAATTCTTTCGTTTTATTTTTTCTAAAATATAAAAAAAAAATATGTAATCATTAACTATGTAATGTAATTATAAGGTCTATTCGCACAATAATGTATATGCATTGCAGAGCAATGAAATTATATGTAATAACCATGGAAATGTTAATGTGGTGTAGGAGTGGACGTCTTTGGTTATACTTCAAAATAATGACGACATGCAATTTCAAGCTTAGGCTTCTGGAAACTATATTACACATGTTTGTCCATGAGGATCCCGAATTAATTTTTCTTATTATATCATCATCTGAGTTCGTTATAGAAAATTGTTAATTTAAAATGTAGTACCATAAGCATAGCATATTATTGCCAGAATGGTCTACAACCTTGGAAATATCTGATATACAATGCAAAATTCAAGTTAATTTAACAAATGAATAAAGTTCTAAATTATTATGATCTCTCGATCATCATGCGTTCGTGATTTCACGATCAGAGATCGTTTTAAACTTCTCGATCATCCCAATCGTACCCTTAAAAAATTACAACCCAACGCACAAGAAAAAAAAAGAGAAGAAAAACACGTAAATATCTTAAGTACCTTTTAAATGATATTTTTCACACACTGCTAGTATACCCGAAGTCCATTGTACATTGACCGACATGTGGTTGTGCCTTTCTGTTTTCAACACATAAATATACTATCTCTGTATTCATCGATCAAGATTAATTGATAAATGTAATTAGGACTTTCCATAATCGCACATGATCTTAACATGCTTAAATGTTTCTGATTTTTATACCCATATACCTTTATATAACACGTATATATACAGTTTGAGACAACTAACTGCCTGTGCATACCATTATTTTTTTAAAGTAAGAATGATAACTTGATTTAAACAATTGAAATAATACATATATGCCTTATTTAGAGTCGACACAGTCAGGACATAACTTAAGCTCTAATGAGTTTTTAACTGACATAAGACATCAAAGGTAAACCAAACTTAGACAAGAAGAAAAAGGGGGGTGTAGAAAGAAATCTGAGGTATGCATTCCTTATTTTAAAAAAGTTAAATATCTCACTTTATTTTCTAATATTACAAAAAAAGTAAAGCAAAATTACCGAACTCTAAGGTAAATTCAAAAACAGGGAAGTCCATATAAACAGACAAAATCCAACGTTTTCAATCAAACATACAAGTGAAAAACAACTCACGGTTATATTCCTGACTTGGTACGCATGGTACAGTCGTTTCCCGAAGAAAATGGTGGATAAAACTTGGTTTTATAGCTAGCTCAACCTCCCGCTTGTATGACAGTTGTTTATAGTTCCGTTATATTGACAAAATTGGGTGAGCAACCCAAACAGACATGATAAGTAAATATGACAATAATTGGGATCCAGCAGCCAAAATTGTGTAAAAATACATCACAAATGACAAAGATTCAAACAAACATACAAATAAATCATAAAAAGACGCTAACAAAAAAATAGATGTCGTAGTTGATAGTGAATTTGACAAAGACGCCAACAAAAATGTTTTGTAGTTGATAGAATATTGACAAAGACGCCGATACTTACATTCCGTATATAGCACACACCTTCTCGATAAAGTACAAATCAAGTAAAATATAAATACGAGGGTAAAAAAGATGGAAACCACACTGTGAAAACCCCCTCTATCGTTCGAATCGCTCCCCAGGACCCACCTGCACCTGGAACGCCCAAGGTCAAAAACCCACTACCGGAATGCATAAATACCGATTCACGTCCAAAGCGATCAAAAGAAAAACAATAGCAGGAAGACAAACAAAGGGAAAATTGTAAAGCAAATAAAAAGACACACAACTTCAGCACCCAGAATCTATAACTCAAGACCATCTTGTATTATTTGTGTAGTAGACACTGAATATTTATACTTTCCGATGAACTTTTTGAGAAAAAGAACGAGAAGTTCTTTGACGAAACCCTAACTCATTATTGTTTTGCTCAGACACCAGTGACATTTTACAAAGTCTGAGTAGCACTGAGCTGCAAGCTCTTGAATATCGTATGAATTGCGAAATGTAACTCCATACACGGGTGTAGTTGGTATATATTGCTGCTAGGTGAGGAAAATTGATAATTTCAAGATTGAAATAGACTCGTTTGTCATCATGTGAGTATCTTCTGGTACTGAGATGACCGAGGTAAATGTCTAGACATAAGACGGAGGAAGCTGTCATCTGTGGTTTCATTTCTTTAGTGCAGGGGTGTCGAAGGAACTCATACTTATACGAAAAAAAGAAAAGGTCGGTCAGGAGAGATGCACAGTTGGTTCCCATAGGAATGCCGACAACTTGACGGAAATTTCTACCTCCAGATTTAACGAATCTGTGTCAATTAGAAAATCTAGCATACTGGTCACTTCTTCTTCTTCTTCTTCCAGGTAAGGAATCGGATTCAAGATTGAATGTTATTGGTTCCGCGCGAAAACTTTACGCAGTGTCGGGCAACACAGAAAGTTCTCTCTTGGCTATTTACATATTACATTTAAAACGTTCGCAATATTATACAATTAAAATTATGTATAACTGGTGTTTCCTACTTCCTTTCAGAGCATGCCTTAAGGGCAGCTCTGAATCCCTCAACGGTGTTGGCCGATGAAACTGATGTTGGTAAGTTGTTCCAATCCCTGATGGTCCTCGGGAAGAAAGATTGGCCGTAGGCGTCTGTACTTGTTCTTTCTTGGTAGAAGCGGTTTTTACCTCTGGTCTGGTTATCATTTGGGGTTAAATATTGGTGACGGTCTATGTCTATAAGATCATGCTGGATCTTGAATAGCATGCATAGTCTGTTTGTTTTCCTCCGTTCTTCTAAGCTTTCCCATTTTAGATTTTTGACCATATTTGTGACACAGCCAGGTGTTCGGTCTGTGTAGTTGTTATTCACAAATCGTGCTGCTCTTTTCTGTACCTGTTCAATTGCCTTGATTTTATTTTGGGTTGTTGGGTCCCATACTGTGCATGCATATTCCACTGCAGGTCTTACCATGGATACATATGCAGCTGCCTTTACAGGTTTTGTACAGCCTTTAAGATTTCTACGTATAAATCCCAACGTTCTATTACCTTTGCCTACTGTATTGTCTATGTGTTTGTCCCAGGTTAGGTTTTTGCTGATGGTTACTCCAAGATATTTGCTCGCTTCCACTGTGTCTAGAGTATGACCGTGTAGTTGGTATGATGTTTGTATCACTGGTCGATTTTTTGGTGATATTCTAATGACAAGGCATTTTTTGGTATTGAAACTCATCTGCCATTTGTTTTCCCAGTCTTCCAATGCTGATAAGTCTTTCTGGAGAAGTTCACTGTCTGCTTGGTTGGTGATGGTACGAAAGAGAAGGCTGTCATCCGCGAATAACTTGGTCTCTGATGTAGATGCTGTTTCTGGCATGTCGTTAATGTAGACCAGGAACAGTAATACTTCGGTGTAGCATGTTTTAACTTTAGGTACCATTTTTAGGAAAGCATTGTGGATTACCGGTTTCTTTAAGATGTTTTTTTTTTTTTAATTTTGCGTGTGGTATGGTGGTGTAAACATGGTAAAGGGTGGAAACTCGAATGTTTTGATAGAATTTATTTCAGAGAATAATGAGATTTTAAATTTTCCAGAAGTTCTTTTGAGTGTTTTTAGAATCCACATATGGTTAATGCAACTACGCGAGTAAACAGTGTCACAATATTTCTGTAATTCCTCTTTCACTGCGGACAAAATTTTAGTTAATCTACAGTAACGGACAATTCCTTTGAAGAACATGCACAGATGCAGATGATCCGGCAATGTACCGTACCGTTGTTTGTACGAAGCTTTGTAAAGTTTCGGTATCCAATACAAACTAGGTAAGGCCTCAAATGTGCTGCTCATTGAACTTGATGATATTCAATGATATAAGCCATGAATGACTTGTGGTTTGCCAAGCCGACGGCTTTATCAAAGGTTACGTTCATGTACGATGGATTGCTCAGTCGAGTGTTGATTTATTCCTTATTCTTTGATTAGACACTCGTAGTAATAGGATTTAAAGACAAAAACAATATTGTTTGAAGCTTTTTCCACAGGAACAACAATCTTTTTTGTCGTGAAGAGACTTCATACAATTCACAGCCTCTTTGTCTTTGAATACGGACTTAGGTCGAACATTTAAACAGGCAGTTTTCAACTTGTGGATCCTGCATGCGTTGTGTCAACGACTTAATTGTTTTAACCAGGAACATATATATTGTTAGATATACTGTTCCCAGTTTTAACTATTCTGATAAATTATTTTTTCATATTAATAAATTGAATTTTTAATAGTAAAAAATGAATATTTAATGTTAAAAAAAAGCTTATTTCTTAATATTTGTTAAAAAAAATGATAATTGATACTAATGGACTTCTGGTATTTCTGATTCGATTTTTTAATATTATGTTTTCTTAATATAAATAAAGGACTTTCAATATTTAAAAAAAAAAGGAATGAATTTAACAACGGCTTGCACTAACTCGGAATAATTTTTAACGTTTTTTTTTTTTTGCTTGGCGGACTCTTCTCGTCGTCAATCCGTCTTTTGATTCAAATATATTTCTCGCGAGATTACGACACCGTGGAAGTAATGGCAGATATGGGAAACCTATGGGAAGGTGCATTTTGCGTCGTTTACCGTGCCATGACACGATTTGTGAAGGGCACTATACATACATTACATTATTGATTCTATGAACATAAGCATGTCATGACTTTTTCTGAAATATTTCATATGGGCTTTTCACGGTGCTCTTTGTTTAGTTGTTTACATCCTGTCATGACTGCTAAAAAAATAAATCCTTACTATTAAAACCAAACCATATGCTACTTTATAAAAGAAAACAGTGTGGCATCTTGTCATTTAGATGAAACATTTGCATATCTTACGAGTTCGTTACATATGTTTTGTCAAAATTTATAAGAAGCGGTCACTTTAATTTGTTTACTTAAATTGCTACTGCCAGTACTGCCTACTGGTCTGAACAGAGTCTAAAAAGTATTCGAATTTTGAAAATAATGTGTTGTCTTCTATTGAGTCAACACCTTTCCTGGTGTTATTCTCCTAAGGAATCACCTGTCCAATAGACAGTACCTACGTACATACTGGCATGAATATAGACACTGATTGATATTGATTTATTGAAATTTGCTGTTACTTTTTTTTTTAATCTTAAATTAAGGAATTTGCATTTCCTTAGTGCACACTTGTAGCTCTGAGCTCTGAATCCTTCTCCAAGTTTGGCTTTATTTTTGGTCCTATTTTCGTTTATCATCTCTGAACATTTGTATTGTGTTTTGGATTTTCAAATAATTTGGCTGCAAGCATCACTGATTGTGAAGTGATATTAGAAAATTTGTCAACATGCACATCTGCTGAATCTCACTTAAAATTTAAAGCATAGATTTGTAAAGCATGGATTCCCTGTTGATTTGAAATTGCACCTGATGTCAAAATACTGAATAGAACAAGATCACACTGCTGGAAAGGTCTTTTAAAAAAAAACCAACTTATTGCTAGCTCAATGCATATGTACATGTACTCAACGTCTGTGAAATTCCATTTGAATTTGCAGGGTGCAGACAAGGAAGCTTCTCTGTTATTTCTGAACCTTGTTACACATCCATTTTATCACGATTGCAGGTCTGAAGAAAATTTATTTTAGATACCTTGAGTTTATTCATTTGTCATGTTTGTACTCATTAACAAAAAACATCAGTGACAGTTATTGTCATCCAAACAACAACAAATCAATGTGTGTTGATACACTTGAAAATATGTTTCTTTGTTTTATTTAAGTATTTTTTTCACAAATGATTTTGTGTAAATCCTGTTTTCCATCTATGTACATGTATAGGATTCTGTGTACATGTATGCCCAAGGGTTTGATAATTTCCTCAAGTAAAATGTAAAATATAGGCAACAGTAGTTTACTGATGTTCAAATCTCATAAGTCGATCAAGAAGGCAAATCAAGGTAACAAACAAAAACTTAGTAAATGGCATGAACTCCAAATAGGTGCTTTGACAGGGAACTGCCTTGCGAATCCAAACTCTGTAAAAAAATTAAAATAACACTTTATAAATTTTATGCGTCCATGGCTCTTTTCTGGATTAGCTTTCATCAGACACGCTCAAAGCCAAATATTTGAAAGTCAATAATGTATAAGTACTGAAACAGTTGAAGAGCTATATACAATGATATATGACCAGAAAGTACCTAAAATAGCCATATCCATCTGAGGTCAACATCAAGGTCAAAGTTTCATAATCAGGAATAGGACACCATTGGTTTAATAACAGATTAGACAACTATTTCTAAACATTTCAGATTGCAAAACATGTTGCTGTGAGTTAAAACATAAACATGTTGTGTTGGTGATTTGGTCAACAAATTTGTATTGATGAATATAAAACTTTAATCGGAATTCACATTTTTTTCTGTAATGATTTTCTGTTTTATGATATTTTTCAATATACAATATATTATATACATTATGAAAGTCCACTGACTGTGATTGTTACAAACTTGAGTTTAATATAGAAAAAATAGTTTCTTAACAGAAAGCATATTTATTTCAGATTTACGTAAACAAGCTAGACAGTTAGAGAATGAGATTGATTTGAAACTGGTATCCTTCAGTAAACTAGGAACAAATTATTCATCACATAACGATTATGGAAGGTATGTATCAAGTATAAATATTTACTTATATATATGTAATTTGTTGTATATCTACACATGTACTTTTGTATCCGAGGCAATATTAACCACAATGCGTACAAATGTATATTTTGTTTTGTGTGGTGAATAAACGAAAATGTGGAATCAAAGTGCACAAACAAATGTATTTATTATTGCTTAGATTCTAGTAAAGAATGATATTGAAAATAAGTAAATTAAAAGTCAAAGGACAGACAATCATGACAATAGTTGAATAATATAACACAGAAATTAAAGATTCAGCAAGGTGCACAAAACAAACCAGGGAGTGAAATAAAATGTTCATAACTTTTTTTTATACAAATTGGGTATATATACCTTTTTAATGCAATTTAATCTATTCTCACATTCAACATGTTCAAAGAAAATTTTTTGATAATCTGACATTCTAATATATTCCTCCTCACTTTTAAAAATGATAATTGCAATGTACATACGATTGATAAGTTTGTTTTGTAATGACCATTTAGCCAACCAAATGAGGAACACACATTATCTAAAAGGTAACTTCATATTTTTGTACATGATGGGCAACTCATAAAAATTAAACATTCATACATATATTTTAGATTCTACCACTGAACAAATGTGATACAATATTTCTACTCTAGAGACAGTTAAAGTTTCAAATATAGAACGGAAGGCTTAAGTTGGGTAACTTTTGAGAGCAGAAAATATTGTATTGCACAAGATACAAATGTACAGTGTTTGAATCTGTTTCTCTAATGGTTTTAAGATGATACATGTATGTCAGACAACTTTTATCTTTCTTTGTCAATGACTTTAAAAAAATTCATGATTCTTTTTGATCTATGAAGAATTGAGATCAAGCAAACCACTTGTTGATTAAAAAAAAAGATCAACTGGTCAAGGAAAGTATCAATCATCTAAGAATTAGAGAAACTGCTTACTCATTTATTTATGATGTGATCCATTCATTTATTCTCCTCAGCATGGAATTCAAGCTTCAGTATTTCTCTCACAGTGGTGATGGTCATATTTAAAGTTCAGGCTTCAAGAGAGAACAATGCTGATTTTGTAATACACAGGATACATGTAGATTTGTACACATATATGTTTTAATGGAAAATACACATTTGATGATTAATATAAAAGTATGGAGATGTGGTATGATTGCCAATGAGACAACTATTCACCAGAGTTCAAATAAAGTGAATTTAATCAATTATTGGCAATTATAAGATTACTTAACAGAATTGAGAGAGCAAGTGTTCACATGAGTATGGGTCTTATGTCGAGAAGCTGTCTTTTCTGGAAGGGGACTTTTCATTTTTGAATAACACTAATGCTTTATACAGGTCCTTTGACTATTTTTTTTCGGTGTCTCTGTTATATTTTTTGGCTGCCTGCATGGATTTATAATAGGTTACGCATTACACAATCATTGCGTCTGACTTCATTGAAGTGCATGTCATGACCTTGATGCCAGCTTGTATAATTCATGGAATAATAAGATCAAATTAAATGTAATTGATATTATACCTTGTCATCTGCTTGTCTTAAGACTGCCAAATTTAGTGCGCTAAATTTGAATGCTTGTATAAATAAAGTATACAAGATTCCTGCTTTTATAGTGTAATCATACATGTATACATGTCTACATACAAATTAGTTTAGTGAAGTCTTGCATCCATGATTATCTAAGCAATGTTTTAAAATCTGGTGAATTTGTCTTAGAATATCGTGAAATTTATTAAAAAAGATAAAAAGACACTTTCCAACATCTTGAATTTTTATTTAATACAATACATTGTACATTAGTTTGGATTTTTCTCTAAAAAAAAAAATAATTATTAAATGCTGAATGTTAATATCTTGACAAATAATATCAAAATTTAATTGATATTTTTGTTTTCAATCATGCTAAAAGTGAATGTCTAATTTTAGCAATGGGAGAAACTGGTACAATATAAAATTATCAGGTTTAGTTTTTTAGCCTGTATAAACATGATAAATGTAGATATTAATGTTTTTTTTAATAATATATTTTCAGTGAGTCAGCCCCCCTTATTAATAAATCTAGTAGTGAACACATGTTTGATACAATGGCTATGGAGATTGAACAACTGTTATCAAAGGTAAGTAGTCAGCCTTCCTACTGTTATCAAAGGTAAGTAGTCCGCCTTCCTACTGTTATCTAAGGTAAGTAGTCAGCCTTCCTCTGTTATCAAAGGTAAGTAGTCAGCCTTCCTACTGTTATCAAAGGTAAGAAGTTAGCCTTCCTACTGTTATCAAAGGTAGGTAGTCAGCCTTCCTACTGGTATCAAAGGTAAGTAGTCAGCCTTCCTACTGTTATCAAAGGTAAGTAGTCATTATTCCTACTGTTATCAGAGGTAGGTAGTCAGCCTTCCTACTGTTATCAGAGGAAGGAAGGTAGCCTTCCTACTGTTATCAGAGGTAGGTAGTCAGCCTTCCTACTGTTATCAAAGGTAAGTAGTCAGCCTTCCTACATGTACTTGTGGATAAATTTAGTTGAGAACATTGGCAAGAAGCCTGTTCATCTTAAAATGATTAGATACAAAATCCATGTTGAAATTTTTATGTTATATACCTGCCATTGAGGCAGAATTCAGTAAATTGAACATTAAATGGACCATTGATATAGTATTGAGTTTGCTTTATTTAAAATTCCAAATTTTACCATGCAGATTGAAATTTTTCATTTTAAGCTGGGTAATTGTTTCCATTGTATCTCATGAAATAAACCATAAATTCACATCAGTGGGAGATTCAGGGAGAGGTGGATGCATAGAAGAGTTAAAAAATATATAAAAATTTGGCATTTTAACCGTAAAAGATATTTAGAATCCCTACTCTCTGCACTAATTTTATCATTTTGGAAAAGTATGACCTTTCAACTAACCCTGAATCCAACCCTGACATTTGAAGAAATTTGACCTGTTACAATTCTTGTAAAACTAGTCAAAATGAACAACTGTGACAGTTTCTCTTATAGCATCCTGATTAGTATGGAAATTAGGAAGTACAATCTTGTTTCTAGAAATTATGGCAAAACATCCCTGATGAGAACATGATAGGATTATGAAGCCCTCTTACTACACGACCAACACACTTAGCTGGATTTATAATGTGCTAGCTCACAAGATAATAGTTAGAATGAAGACGGGATACATTATTCTAATTCTGAGTTGATTGCTCTTACTCCCATATGCTGCATGCTGAGATTGGTATTTTGTTTAGATTGGTTGTTGATCAAAATGCACAACTGAGGCTGCTGAGGCGAATAGCACAATACATTAGAAAAGTATTTCCATTTCTTATTTTTGAAACATGTATTTCAAACTATTTGATGCCAATGCAAGTTTTTAAGTAATGCTTTTAAATGTCTTATAAAGTAATGACATAATTTAAGACTATTATGAAAATAAGGAGATATGATATTTGAATAGTCATTTTATTTTTTAGTTACAAGATGTGAATGATAGAATGTCAGATTACACACAGAACATCAGCATGAGTTCACCCAGTGCTGCTCTACTTCATACCTTACAGAGACATAGAGATATACTACAGGATTACTCACATGAGTTTCATAAAACTAAAGCTAATATATCAGCAATAAGGGAAAGGGAAGATTTGTTAGGCTCTGTTAGACGAGATATTAGGTTTGTAATGATTTTATGTAGTAGACTTGTTAGTCTCTGTCAAGATATTCAGTGATATTAGGTTTGTTATAAATAAATAGGTATACAGTATTTGTTAGGCTCTATTAAAGGATACATTATGTTTGCTCTAAATTTTGTCAAGAGAAGTCTGTGAGGTAAAGTACACAGTTTTTTTATAAAAACTATAATGCATTTCTAAGTATTTGTTAAATGAGACATTAGGTTTGGTTTAAATTTATAGGTAAGATATTTGGGGGTAATTGAAACAAGAAATATGTATATCTAAACTATAAATACTAGCATGATTGATAGTTTCTTGCTTAATAATGTTAATGTCCGACTGTACGTGTTTTCCCTTATGTTCAGCACAACAAACTATTAGGAGATGTGGTATGGTTTCCAATGAAGCCACTTATTATTATATGAAAGATGAAAGATAAAAAAGGACAAGACATATCAATACATCTACAGATCACTGTATTGCCTTCAAAACTAGGCAAAGATGCACAGTGTAAGAATTTGAGGCAAAGCAAATAAGTTGTTATTCTCATGTCATTCACGCTAAATTTTTCACTGGGTGCTTCCTATTTTAGCTTTGAAAGCATGAAGCATCTGGTTCAATAAGAAGGGATGTGAAGTAGATATTTGTGAGAGTGGAATATGCTGTATCTGTTGAGAATTCCAGTTTGAAATGTTTAATTAAACATCATAGCAATGTAAAGAAGTAATAAAGTATCTGTTTATATATTAAGCTATTTTTTATACTTGTTTATTTTCCAGTGCTTATAAAAATTCCTCTGGTTTAAATAGAAGAACAGACATGTATTTAAAAGAACATGATCACATACGGAGGTAAGTAAACTTATCTGGTAACTTCTGATGCAAAAAGAAAATAGAAAATATTTGTGTTAGCTCACTAAACTTCCTATCTTACCCAGACTCCTTACAAACCCATATCCAACTTGGTTTTTTGCTACCTCTTACACAAAACATCTGAAATACCAATTTAGAATTTGATGTTAAAACCTGATCAACATGCTATTCTGCACAATAAACTTGTTATACAGAATAAAAGCACAACACCAATAGTTATCAACATTGTAAATACAGTACCAAGATGACTTCATGTTCCTTAGTAGTATCCTTGACTTGAAGTAAAATTTGTTATTTCTTTTAGCATTAATGATAGCTCTGACATTGGTCATGAGGTTCTTTTAGGAATACTTGTGGCTTAAACCTGCAATATATGTGTGTGTTTAGTTACACAAGGATAGAAACAAATATGTGGAGAGACATATTATGTGTTAGGGGAATACATGCTGAGAAATTAAAAAATGTTCTTGCAAATAATAGAAAAAATACTTTTTTTCGCTGCATTTTGTTGAATCTCAGAGTCTGGTATTTTTAGTGATCACATGACTATAGTTAATATTACCACAATCAAGTCTCTGTAAAATTTCTGCATATTGACTATTTTTCTCATCACTTGGCCTCTGTCGTCCATCATCGTCTGTTAACTTTTACAAAAATCTCCTCTGAAACAACTCAGCCAAATGTAACCAAACATAGATAAAGAGAAACTTTAAATTGCAAAAATGATCAGCAAGACAAGTTCTACAAATAAGTCGGCATGGTCGAAACTGTTAGTCGACTGCTTATTAGAGTTATTGCCCTTTGATGACAATTTTTACCAATTATTTGCATTTTTGCCTTATATCTTAAAAATTATAATAGATAAGTAGACACTTTAAATCACAAAAATGATCAAGTCAAGATCTAGTAACAAGTCAAATTTTGCCCATATAGTTAGTAAACTGTCACTCTTTATAGGAGTGATTGCCCTTAGATGAGGATTTTTTTACCCTCTTTTGTGTTTTGAGCAAAAAACTAAAGAAGATAGAGTGAAACTAAACAGACATGATCAGCACTACAAGATCAACAAAACAGAGATTTTTGTCATGAATTCAATTCTGGTCTACAATGTTAGAGAGTGTCTTTTGTCGAATATGCACATAGACCAAGGTGAGCGACACTGGCATTTTAGAGCCTCTAGTTTCTTTATTTTGCATTTTCAAATTTTGTCATTTAATCATATATCACCAAAGATTACCCCAAGCTTTTGGTATGGTTCATGTTAAGTCTTTATTTCTGTGTAGAGTTTTGTGGTCGCTGTTTGTTATTTTACCATATTTATTTTTGGCATATTGTTGGTTTCTTTTACATTGACTTTAAGTTTTTATCTTCCCCCTCATTTATTTGAAATGATACAACTGTTTTTTTTCCTATTTCAGTTCAGAAAAAATGATAGATGACCAAATAAGGTAAGCGTAAAAAAAAAATGCTTGATGAAACAGATTGTCACTGTTAAAAAAAGTATGAATAGAATCAGATATATATATGTCAATGAGACAACAACCCAAAGACAAGAGTTACCAAAATACATCTTAAGGGGAACATAGAATCTTTAAAAAAAAACCAGATGTTTTAACAAAATGTTGAGCTCTAAACTGTCTCTAGTCTATATAAGTTGTAAATGAATTATATAGAAAAAAAATCACTCGTGCTTCATACCTAAAAGACAAACCTATAAAATTTGGGTCAATATATAAATGATCAGCAATGGAGGGACAAGAATGAAAAGGAAATGGAAAATCCAACTTCATTAAACATGTCAGTTGAATCAACTTGATTAGAATTCCAATAAAACTTCAACTTTAAAAGATTGTCGCATTTGATGATGAAAAAAACTTATCAGGACTATTTCATTAAAATAGATAAAGGGACTTCTTGAATACCCATAAAACCATCATACTTTTAAAAAATATTTTGCATGCTGCCATAAATGACCAATGTCTAGAAATTAAAAAAAAAAAACTTTCCTATTCAACCCACATCCATTTTAATAAAAGAGTCCTCATTGTGTTTCTCATTTGATACAAAGTAAGTTTGTCAGTGTTTTGTTTTTTATATTTTTATTTCTATTTTACAGTATAGCAATTGCAACAAAAGAAAATTTACAATCACAGAGAAAAGTTCTTGGAACAATCACACAGAAAATGAATTCATTAGCGAGTATCCTTTTGAAAACAAGATTAATACACAGTCTTTGTGCTTGGTAACAGGCCTCTCTACCTAGGCTTGTAAATTTCTATTTTTCAATATATAAAGCTATACTAAATTTTAAAAAATGAGCCTTGACCTTGTGGTTGTGAGAGTATATCTCTATATCATTGTACTTTGGTTTACGAGAATAAAGATATATGTATACAAAGTTAATCATGAAGACTGTTTAAATGGTATACAGTTAAAAAAAATAACTTAGTCTTGACCTATATTTTCATGATGCTATTAACTAAATTTAGGCTTTTAATTTTTTATATGTCTGGACTGTAGAAAAGTATGCAAAATTTTTAACAATCATTAATATACTTGAGTTTGAATATTGTCCAAGGAAATATTGGTATCAGTTTTCATGATCAGACTTAGATCACAAACCTCAATTTCAAGTAGTAATAATCAATGGGAACAGGGAGATGAATAAGTAAGCCTTTCATTGACGTTCTGAAATATAGAATATAGCTTTCAACATATACATGATATAAGACCGAGTTGCACTTCAAATGAATAAATTTTCATTTAAAAGGGATTATTTTAGGAAAAAGAATAGTTTTAAGAAATGTATGGATAAAAATAAGAAGATGTGGTATGATTTTCTATGAGACAACTGTCCATCATATACCAAGTAAGAGTTATTCTTACAAAATGGCAGAATTTGTTTGACCACTGTAGCATACAACTAAATGATACAAAACTATTGTGTAAAACTAGTAAGTTGATATTTTAAAATTATAATTATGGATATCTGTTTTGTTCCTTAACTAGATCTCAGATCGATTTCCACTCATTAACACATTAATGCAAAAAATAAACTTACGGAAAAGAAGAGACACAATAATTTTAGCGAGTGTTATAGCTACTTGTGTAATTGTATTACTGTTGTATGCTTTCCACTAGTTCATACCTGTCAGTAATGTGTTTATTATATTTATAAATGGTGGTTATTTTTAAGATAAAACTTTCCTATTCCTTTAACTTTCAGATGTACTGAAAAGTAAGGAATTCTACATGTTTTATATATATGTGTGTGACCTATTTATTGTTTGAATTATATCAGACTAAATGACAAATGAAGGAAATACTTAAACTGGAATTATTTTAAGAAAATTTCCCATATATTGAAGTTCATTTATTATATTCGAACTTATTGAACAGTAGATATTGTTTGTTGTCTTCATTCTTTGGCTCTTTGTTTCCACTAGTTCAATCCAATAACTGAAATTCATTGATCATTTCAGAAGGTCTTTAATATCTAAAATCATTGTTCAGATCCTATTTTTTGAATTCCAATGATTTTTCATAACAAAAATGGACTTTGCAATATCTAGGGGTGAGGTTGGCATATTGGATCCAGATCTAGGGCTATTAAGGGTGTGAGTTTGTGAGTCTGCTAAAAAAATTCTTGTTGAGTAAAACGTCTATACCATGAAATAAAGGTTGAGATTGTGAACATATGATTGTTAGATCTAGCCATGGAATCTAGAGGTTTATATTCAACCTTGTGGTGAGGCCCTGATTAAGGAAATTATATCCTTGATATGTGTAATAGTTGAGGTCATGATTGTATTGCTGAGTCCAGAATGACTCATCTAGGTGACTTGTAGGGTTTCCTAGATAATGACATAACTCATATACATATCCTGTGGATATTCTCACACTTGCTTTTATGTATCAATGATGTTTCTCAAAATATAATAGATTGTATGTACCAGTATTTATATTGTACATGTACATATGTATCTAGATTATATTTATTCATTACTGAGAATTATGACTATTAAGGGCTAACATTTAAAACGAATTACAGTACACATAATTATGGTGATCTAGTTGAAAAAAAAACAGCCTTGCTGGTGTGAATGATTAAGTATGAACATGGTGATTGCTTGCAGTTGAATGTGAATCACTTCATGGATATTGTTTTATAAATGGCATAATATAGGAAGTGCATTCAGATGATACATTTTGTAATCTGAGATAAAAATAGTTTACAAGAATGGAAATATGTGATAATATGGAAAATTAGTTATCCAATAAATTGTGTAAATATAATAGGATAAGCTTGTTTACTTTGTATTCAAAACAGTGTTACAGGAAACATGGGTGTTTATTGCTTGGCCAGTCTACAGTTCATTGTTACAAATGCCATGTAAGTGAAAACTTAATCTTTGAGATTAATGAATTGACTAGAAGTTAACAATTTAAAACGTTGCTGTTATATTTTTAATTGTCAGCAGCTTATCACAAGAAATACTATTCTAGTTTTTAACAATATATCGAAACAAAAAAAAGGAATCAACAGTTATCTTTATTTAACCAGTTTTGTAGAAATTAAATCTAGAATTTGAAGTAAGATTACAAGATTAAATATGTAAGACTGTAATATTTGGATACTTGGAAGAATTATGGAAGGTTCCATTTGATGAAACGTTACGAGATATCCTCTTGCACATTTTACAAGTGACTGAAGCAATCATATAATTATTTTTTGTTCCAATTAAGGATGAATGTTCTGTGTAAAAGAGAGTAAAGTTTGAGTGTAGTGTATGTTTGTTGATCTAATTGGAGTAGGTGTTAAAATTTTTAGTTCTCTAAACATTCCATTCCAAAATATTGTTATTTGTTTTTATTTCTAACATGATCAAATTCACAGTTCATCAAGAATTGAAAAGTTTATTGTTGTCATTTGTTTGTATGGGTTTGATTTTTGTATGTTTTTTCAGCCAGTTGTAATGGTTGAGGTCTATTGTCAATGTTTTTTTTGTCTATACATATTCTTACTTGAATCTATTTTTGTATATAAGCATTGTGTATGATGGACATAAGACTTCAGCTATGATAAAAATACACATAATGTACAAGTTAAGCACAAGAAAATAGGGCTACAAGAGGTTCAATAACATAGTTACAAAATGATTATGGGATTTTCTTTGTGTTCAATAAAAACTTTTCGTTGAAAGATAGCAATTATAACCTTAGGGATTATTTTGTCAAATCTGTGAAAACTAGGATCAAGAGACCAACATTCAGAAAAATGAATCATTTCAAATGTTTTGACTTGATTCTTGAATCTTCAATGTTACATTCCTATTACTAGTAATAAATGTTCAGGTAAACACAGTGCTATTGTACTTAAATAAGGTTGAACATTCCTCAGACAAAGTTGTCTTTTAACTGTTATGCTTAGGCCCCCCAGATGTGATGCTCTTTAAAGTTAAATATTTGGCTTTCCTAATTTTGGAGCAAAACACCGAAATGGTTCAATGAAATGGCCTGCTACAACTTGATTTTCTGTAAAATCATGATAGTTAATGATGTGACTTTGGAAAACGACTTTCATATTTGTTGTATACAAGAAGTTTATTCTCTTATTTTGTATTTGTCTAAAAAAAAGAACACCTTAAAACCAATCATATGATTACATATTCATCATATATTTGTCATGGTAATGAATGTAAAGTTAGAGTTGAAATACTGTGATAGTTATTTATGTTCTGGTTATATTGAACTCTGACTATTTTCATTGTTTGTAGTTGTTACTGTTATAAAGAGGTAGTATTTATATAATTCTTTTAGTTTTTGAAGACATGATGTATGTACATAGTGTAAATAAAATACCAAAACAAAATAATGATGTTTTGTCTATTAAATGAGAAATACACAAGGAATTTGTATGGATAAAAGTTTATCAGTATATGGTATAAATGAAAGTAGATATTTGGTATAAATCTGATTATACCGTAACCCAAAGTCATCTACTGGTAAAGATTGAGTCATGAAAGAAAAAAATATTTCCATTCATGTTTTTGCAACATATTTAAATATAATGTTGTGTTAATATTTAAGTCTTGACAGATTTCACCCCTTCCTATAAAACTGGAAATAACAAAAAATTTTATTTAAGTCATTCAAACTTGGGAATGTTCTTAACATTTGCAAAATAGGGATAATCCTTGAAAAAATCCTGAAATTGAAACTTGCCATGTGGTGTGATTTTAACATTCCAATTTCATTTTAAGCTCACCTTGCCCAAAAGGCAAGTGTGAGCTATTGCCATCACTTGGGATCCGTCGTTGTCTGTTAACTTTTACAAAGTTCATCTCCTCTGAAACTAATAGGCCAAATTTAACCAAGTTTGGGTACAATCATCATTGGTATATCTAGTTAAAAAAATAATGTGTCCGATGACTCCGCCTTTTTTGCCAAAGAGTCAGAGTTAAACCCTCTTCAGAGTCTTCCTCTTTTAGGGACGATATAAAGATGCTAACCATCTTTTTTTGGTTCTCACTTGATGCCAAATTTATTGAATTTGGTAACCGCCTTGCACTTGTGGAGTCGAAAGGTCTTTCTCAAGTCTCTTGCATGATCCTCCTAGAGCTGCTTGTCATCCGGAGGAAGATGGCACTGTCTTTGGCCTCCAGAAATCAAGAGAGGGTTTTTCTTGATGACTTGGATTTTATTTGGATGATTGCAGTGTTGGTAGGAGTTCTATCATAGGTGAAGATGCTACTAACTCTCAGTAAATTGAACCTCCTTTATAGAGTCTTTTGAAGGACACAGGTTAGCAAATTAGACCACTGACTTTAACCATAAAATTTCTTTTTAATGCACCATTCTAACACGGTCAACGCATATACCATTTGAAAGCATATCATCTATCTGATTTGACTGGTTGTCAAATATTTTTATTGTGCAATTTCCGTCAAATCACGATGAAATGTCAAGGATGGACAATTTCAGATTTCATTTTTGCTCTGGATTGGTCAAGCTTGATACAAGAGGTACACGTCTTCCCCATAGTCGAATCATTTCACGAAGGCTTTGTCTTTTGTCAACTCTTCTTTTTTCTTGGAAAAGTTCTAGCACTATCAAAGATTATTTTACAAGATGTCAAAATTTTTGCATATTCTGTCTTCTGAATAATAAAATTATGAAACCCGCCTCCGGATGCGGGATTTTCTCGCTGTGTTGAAGACCCATTGGTGGCCTTGGGCTGTTTTCTGCTCTTGTCGGGTTATTGTTTCTTTGACACATTCCCGGTTTCCATTCTCAATCTTAAATATGAACAACTTTTAGAACAGAGGTTAATACTCACTTATCTAACGCAGTTATGACGTATTTCAAATGAATAACGCCTTTCCCAAGAAATTCCAGTGAAAATGATAAAAATGAGTGAAAACCAAAATACTTATCTGTGATTCAATTTTTAATCTCCATAAAACCAAATAATATATTTCATGTAGTGCTAAGGAAGTATTTAACTCCATCAAATTAATGCAATCACGATTTTATCTAATTAAACAGGCAATCATAACAACTCATACAGTTGCCTAAAATACCTCTATATGCAAAAAGATAGCCTTTTAGCTGTTCAACGTTAACAAATTTTGTATGTAGTGCATATTAGGTTGAAGAAAAATATGTTAAAAAAGCACAAATGTTTAAAGGATATATTACACGCGGGATTCATTCTTTTATATATTACGGGATTTTAAGGGAACGAAAGTTCTATGCAGTATAATTGCCAGCATGAGAAACTCTCGTCCACCGTTACTTGTAATTTGTTTGTAGTAGAACCTTTTATATACTAAACACTGAATATATTCCTTGTGTCTGTTCGAAATAGGAAACCACATCAAACTACGTAATTTTCTTCTACAAATAGGAAATGTTGCAGTTACATTAACTCACAGTTTATATCTTAATTTTGATAAGTAAATTCTAGGAATTCGCAGTAATTCTAGTTATAATGAGACTTCCTTAATAGTTAAAATAGTTAAAATATTAGTAGTAAAAAGAAATGAATTACCGTGAAGGTGTCACATAAAAATTCAACCAATCAGCATCAATAACGGTTTTTCAAAATGAGACAACCGCTGACAAAACTTAGCACTTTTGATATTGCTGTTTACTACAGCTACATGTAAGAATGAATTTGTATATTTGAACTGACATATACATATATATTTGGACCAATTTTATTGGAAAATGACGCTATCAGCGGCATGTTTCCGATACCATTGACCAGAACTTACGGAAGTCGATTATTGCCTCCGCCTACCGCACTCGGTTTCATATTTACTATTTTACATACTAACTGGAATCTGCTTGTATTACGCTACACTCGAACAAAGTGTTGTAGTCGGACGGGAACCAGTTTACATACTTTATTTTATTTACCAAAAAGATATCTTGACCTGTCCATATGTTTTTTGTTATTAAATGGTATTTGGAGCTATCCCTTTGTTATATTTTTCATATTTATTCGAGCTTTCACTTTTATGCACATGTCTTACAATCGTAAACAATCGGTATGTATACATGATAAATAGATCCGTTTTGTTATGGTGTTGGACTTTTTACCCTCCAATGATCAGCAATCGCTAGACAAAATAGTTCTCCTAAATAATGTCAGCCTTTCATGCCATTTCAACTTTACAATCATTAAAAAAAGTGAAAATCGGAATCATTTTGATATCCATTGGATAGAAACTGGCCTTTATCCAGATTTACGAAGATTTTAAAAATCGGAAATTAGTAATTCGGTTATACCCACGCGGTGCGTATGAATCTTTGTTTACAAAACAGGATTTCGGAACGTCTCTAGTTTTTATATCGTAAGTCACGATAAACTCAAACTGAAAGTAAACAGTTGTTTGTAAGACGCAGGTTTACTCACCTGAACAAGCTGAAACGTTCAGTATGGCATATATTTTAGGTTAAAGACGGCCCCATTCATTATGACGACCTCATAATTTCATCATGTCGATGGTACAAATCGATTTTTACTGTTTACTGTCGCTTCTCATGTTTTGTATTTAAACGGTCGTTTATTTTTAAACCCGAACCAGGCATATGCATTCTGTAATTGTGCAAATCTTCGTTCTTTGGTCAATTGGCTTATGGATAGTTGTATCAATTTCAACTCTTACATTATTTTTTTTTTAAATATATTTGCATTACACATGCAATGTCAGTACCTTTCCAATTACTATTTATGTGTTGTATCTAAATTAAAGTTGTAACACTTTATAGTGACTGGAAAGGGTAGAAAAATTCATCAGATAAGAAAAGGCTGAAGATACTTCAAACGGCACCGAATCATTAGATATTGCATCTTATAAAAAGAAACTCAGATTTGGATAGTTCCACTTCAAGGTAAAAATGTTTATCTCTTGTGAAATGAAATAAAAAAAATATTGTAACACTGTAGTTAATTAATAAAGATACTATTACGTGTATTTCTGTATTGGCCTTATTATTGGTATTCGACCAGCAGTCAAACGGCACCGAATCATTAGATATTCATCTTATAAAAGGAAACTGAGATTTGGATAGTTCCACTTCAAGGTAAAAATGTTTATCTCTTGTGAAATGAAATAAAAAAAATATTGTAACACTGTAGTTAATTAATAAAGATACTATTACGTGTATTTCTGTATTGGCCTTATTATTGGTCCTCGGCCAGCAGTATTGGCCTTCCGCTTCGCCTCAGACCAATACACCCAAGACATGGACCAATAACAAGGCCAATACAGAACTATTTACGCAATGATATTATAGAATGACATTATGGTTCAATAGCGGGAATCAGCCCCTCAACTACTTTTTACATAAATATTAACTTCTGGCTTCAACGCTTTGTTCGTCTTGTCTGGAGATCTTGCTGTAGTTCCAGTTCAGCAAGCAATTTAGAGACGTATCCCGTCCATCCTCTTTTGACTTGTAATCTCTGGTGATAGATTTTGCCGCTTGACATTGTATCCTTTCAAGCTTGTTTTTTATTGTTACCGTGTAGGGATCCCATACTATGGCTCCATATTAAATTATAAGATCCATTCCTAAAGATCTAGATCATTGTTCTAATCTGACACAAATTTCAATAACTGGAATGCTACCCAAGTTGAATATATGGTGACCCACGAGAACAGCATTATCACTATTGAAATTGTGTTTAATACCGTGATTGTTCAATGTCATTAACTTAAATGGAGACAGACATTTGACCTGAAAGACATGAAAGGTGGCGTGGGAGTGCAAAATCAAAAACTAACTGACTATGATATATGGTTAAAGAATAAATATCAATTACATGGGTCAACATGGTCAAGGGCAGAGTTGTTATAAAATAACAATATGGCAGAGAAGTGGTTTCAAGTTTCATATAAAGCGACCTGACTGACATGAAATAAAAAATCGAAGGAGTATCCCTATTTGTCTAATCTTCAAGGTGAAATAAAACTAGTAAAACAATATTATACTATTGTCTAAATATACAGAAATATAATTTGCTTCAAGTAACAGAAATAACTAGGTCACTAATAACTTATTTATGTATGTGGGGTATAAGAGCTTGCTAACAACAGGCTCTTCATAATCATTTGGTTTGAAAAGGATACTAGTAGTCTATATTCTTGATTTAGAAAAATGTAATTGCAAGAAAAAAATCACATTACTTAGAATACTTTAGATCATTCAGGTAGTCTTTATTTATATGTACAAAAGAACAGCCAGTAGTCATTGGATATTGTAGATCATTCAAATAGTCTTGACCTTTTTATTAGTACAAAAGAACAGCCAGTAGTCATTGGATATTGTAGATCATTCCGGTAGTCTTGACCTATTTATTTA